TGCTGCACTCGGAGACGCTGCGCGAAGCCCTCCAGGGCAGGGGCTGTAGCCAGGAGCCGGGCGGTCCGTCTCTTGAAGAAGTGCTAGGGACCGCGGGGATGCTTCGTGAGAGCCTGCTTCCCGGTAGGTCCCTCCTCCATCGCCGCAGGGGTGAGGGTGATCTCTGGAGAGTGCTGGACGGCCTGGACGCCTGCTCGCGTTTTTGTTCCTGGGAGCGAAGCAGCTGTGTTTAAGGGAATTTTCCAGTTGTGTTCGAGCGCTGGGAAAGTTTCATCTGCACGCTGTGAGTCTGTGCCCTTTTCAAGGACCTGAGCAGCACGACTGCCGAAGCGCACACTGGATGTTTTCGCTTGTAATTAGGGGAAAGACACATTAAAATCACAGTTGCCAAAGTACTCGGAGGAATCAGGCTACAGACTCCTGAGCTAATCTCTGCGAAACATTAACACTAGCGGGACTGCACATATAAATAGCATGTGTATCGTATGTGCTACATTCACTCTCAGTAGAATTAGAAATTTAAAATTTTTCCTGTGGCTACTAAAATTAGTGATTTGTCTTTTGACAGGTGCTTTGGCGCAATATGCTAGCTGCTTAGAATTGGTGAACAAAAGACTGCCTTGTGGCCTTGCTCAAATTGGAGTGTGCTTTCACTCTATTCCAGAAAGTGAACAACACAACAAAAACTTTAGAAGGTAGAGTAATAGAGGGATTAATCCCTTTTCGTACTTAAACCAACTGTTTGCACTTGTTTCACTTTTGGATTATTTTTGAATGCTGTCTCTTGCTTTTTCCCTGTTATTTTTGAAGGAGTTAACTTGCTGACCTTGCTATTGTTTAAAGAATAGGCGAAAGGACCACGTCTTTGCTTGCATGGTTTAGCTCTCCCAGAACTGCAGGACAGTGGCTCGATTACTGGTTACGCCAGAGACTCCAATGGTGGAGAAAGGTAACAGCAGCGTGCCGGGGGGAAATCTTGGCCTTCTCCTTTCTGCCTCAAAGAGGGGGGGAATAGACACCCGGATTGGTTTTACGGAGTTATGTTGCTTGCCTATTCTTGTCACTGAGATACATGTATTTCTTGGGAGAAACCAAAAAACTACTTAAGTTTATGACAAGTAGTTAAGTAGTCTACAGCATGACTTGCAGAAAGGCAAATGTTTTGTGTTTGTAATTGATTTGAGATCAAAATGCTGTAAAACAATAAAGAGATTTGGGCTGTAATTCATAAAAATCCCTTGCTGAAAATCATAGACTTCAGCTTGCGTTGCAGACTTGTAGTTAATACAGCATGCATAGTAGTGATCACCTCTTGGATCTTTAATTTTCAGTTTGCAGTAGGTCCATCTAACTTCAGCAGCAGTGACTTTCAGGATGAAGAAGGAGGAAGAGGATTTAATTTACATTACAACTTTCCTTGGGGGACAGAAACAATAGAAACATTGAAGAACCTTGGTGATACTGAACTGTTACAGATGTATCCAGGGGATAGTTCAAAATTACTTGTAAGCTTTACTGTATTAAAAACTTTTTTTGATAAAGATGATAACGTGTGAGAGAAATGGTTTCTTTGCTGGTCCAGTTGCTTAGCGTGTGACTATCTTTTTATTATTTTGTTGTAAAAGCAGTACAATTGATACTCTGCAGTCAGACCTTCAATTCCAAAAGCAGATAAAATAACTGGTTTTTTTTTTTTGAAAGGAGTTAATTCTTTGAAATCAGAAACTAGCTATATTGACAAGACAGCTGTTGTCAGTTTCATAGCCTTTACCTGTATCTGTGAATAGATGTCGAGACAAACTCAGTCTGTGTTTTGCAGTGTTAAGTTCGCATCAAAAAGAACCTGTAAATGTTTTTTCTTTCTGTAGCTTGTCCAATTCCATTTATGTAGAAGTGTATGTGGGTTAATGGATTATAAATAACTGCAAATGGCTTTATAGAAGTTAGCACACTCAGAAGGGTGAAGGGACCAGAGGGACACCTTTCCACTGAATATATTGGAGAGGGACAAACTTCTAGCGAATGGCAATGTTTGAAAAGTCGGGCTGAACAGATAAAATGAGAGTAACTAGGTATTTTACCAGTAAATTGCAACCTTCTCCTCGCAACAGTCCTGTCTGTCTTTCCTGGTTTTGCAGCTTATTTCTATACAGAAGGCAGAAGACTGTAACGTAACCTACAAATTACATAGTGATTTCTCAGAATGTGGGGACATATTCTTGTGGTCACTTGGAAATAATCTACAAACCTCCAAAAGAAAATGCAGAGTTTCAAGGGTGTTGGCCATAGATTTAAATTTATGATCAGAGAGGCAGGACAAGAAAATAATCCCATCCCTGCTCTGATCTTCTGCTTTCCCCAGTGTTACATATTACATTTTTGAGATTACTGGTAACTTTTTAAAATACATGTCTGATCGTATTTTAAATGTAACGGGTGCTTGAGCTCAATGCCTCATTATACATTTAAAGTAAACAAAAGGCCCTTTGAGACAGTATTTGAGGTATCCCTTTGTGTTTTTTTTTCTCTTCAGGGCCGAGATGGAAGGAAGAATGTTATTCCTCATGTTCTGTCTGTGAGTGGAAATCTGGACCGAGGAGCATTAGCATATCTCTTTGATTCTCTACAGCTAGCTGAGAATCCATTAACAAAAAAGAAAAATTCACAGAGAAAGGTAACTTTTTGTAGAAAGTGTAAGGAAGAATGGATGATGGAAGGCAGGGGCAGGTCTAAGTACAAAACCCACAGACAATGTGGTGAATTCAAGCATGGACATATCTCCCTTTTCCACATCTCCATCCTCTATTCCCTTCCCCAAGAGGTGCAGACAGAATGCTTTTCCTTGATAGCAACAGGCTGCCCCCACAGGATTGCCTCTGTGGTCCTTTTCACCCACATAAGCAATTTTTCTCTCCTTCTGAGGTCACCTTTCCTGTTTTACCTTCCTTCTCTCTGATGAGAAGGTAGGCTCTTGCCATGCAAGTGATGAAGGCGTTAAGAGGAATTGGAATGTAGCTGCTGTGCATGGAAAGAGGAGTTCATTTCTTCCAGCAGCATTTGAAGGTTGCTGAGAAGAGTAGAGAAAGCAGGCATTTCCCCAAGGACCATCATTATTCCCACTTTTACCCTGGTTTTCTGGAGTTAGAGTGCTAGCTTTCAGACAGCACTTGTTAATCAAACAGCTGTTTGGTCTTCAAGAACAGGCAGTAGACTGGATGGTAGCGGTCTGCTGGGCTGTCTCTGATCACTCTGGCTCCACTGAAGATGAAGGAGCTCTGCTAACAAAACTTCAACTCTTTTCTGGGGCTCAGCCAAAACGGAATAATTTCTGCCACACTAGCCTAGCTGGCATGTGTGCTAGTTATATGAAATACAGCTTGCTTCTAATTCAAGGTTTTGTGCTGTGAGAAAATTTTTGCATGTTTAGAACCTTAATTTCAGTGAAAAAAAAGTTGTATTTCCTAGGTCTCGCTAGAATTTCATGCTAAATACATTTAGTAATCTGTTGCTTTTTGTAAAATTATTAGGTACTTAAGCTTCATCCTTGTTTAGCGCCTCTTAAAGTTGCCTTGGATGTAGGAAAAGGTCCAACAACAGAGCTGAGACAGGTATGTTGTAAGAAAGTATTTTAACTTTGAGCATTGACTTTCCATGTAACCTGTTAAAATTCAGACACTGTTTACATCCGGGAAAATCGTGCTGCTACTTTGATTCTCGGAGATTCGTGGTTGTACAGCTTTCACAGCGCTTCCGCTATGCAGCTTGTGAGTCACAGCCAAAGGAATACTCTGTAGATAGTGCCTTCCTTGCGTTAACATACTGCTTCTAGTACTATTAGTAGAGTTGATACTTTTTTCATGGAAAATTAAGGAAAATAAATAATACAATCCCTCTCAGCTTCTTAATCTTTCAGAATTATCTTAACTTGTGGGTCACATCTTCAGAAGGATTTTTTAAAAGTTTTTATTTAAGTCAGTCATTAAGCCAGCCCCCACAAAAGGGAGGAAACTTACACTGGCATGTTTTTAAATAGAAATGGAGATTTAATTGCCAGGCTGCTTTCTACTTAGAGATTATTTCAGCCAGAAAATTAACACCAGCCAGGAATGCTAATACCACATATACTAGAGTTTTAATGGTTTCTTTGTATAGGATTTCAAATGCTCAAAGTCTGTCTTAACTTTTGTTTTTAAATAAACACAGGTTTGTCAAGGATTGTTCAATGAACTGTCAGAAAATAGCATTTCTGTATGGCCGGGTTATCTTGAAACCGTGCAGGTATCTCTGGAACAGCTTTATACAAAGTAAGGAGAAACAGTCTTTTGTAAATTAAACTATGAAGGTGAAAGATGACTTTCTGTGGACTAGCGAAAATATGCCTGTTTTCAGTAAGAAGTCATCGAGTGCAGTAACCACATGACTGAAGGCATGTATCCCAAACTGTAAATTTGGATTCAATTAGAGCAATGTCAGATAGTTCATTTTTAAAATTAAGTGGAGTGTAAGCCTTTCACCTGTTATTGTTGTTTCTCTGGAACCGAGAAATGCCTTTTAGAGACTCTCCTATTGAAAATAAATTTCTTAAAATGAGTCATAAGCTCGCAGAACTGTTTCCCACCCTCACCCCCCATTTTTACAGCTGGACTGGTTCTGTGTTTCGTTCTTAAGTACTATGTCAGATAGCACACTGTGTCTAGTCTTGAATTTAAAAGTTCGAAGTCTGGAACCGTTACCATTAGTGTATGGGATGGAATTATTTGTGCAGATAAAAACTACTATCCCAGCTGAGGGCTTCATATATGATTTGTTGATCAGGAGTGAATTTTGAGCATATTGCTGCTCATGCCAATGGATTTTGAGCTATTGGTGAATTTTTTTTCCCGAGAGAAAATAAACACAACTATTTGTTTTGTACAGTATTCTTCAAAGTAAGTCTGGCTATTAAATAACAGAAGAAAGATATATTCTGCTTCTACAAAAATACTCTTGTAATAGGTCACCAAATAACATTCTTTTTACGTACTGAAGTAACTAAATAATTTAAAGAAATGTAATCAGGAAGGCAAGGAACGGCAAGAAGAAAACTGGTGTCTTCACACTGGGCTTCGTGCAGTATAGCAGAAATAAATATTTACAGCTTACGGTCATTTGTACATAACTTATCTGAAATTTTCGTGTACCAAAAGCAGTAACAGGTGTGCTCTTTTTCTTTGCAGGTACGATGAGATGAGTGTTCTCTTCACGGTCTTGATAACTGATGCCACTCTAGAGAATGGAGTGGTCCAGCTGAGAAGCAGAGACACCACCATGAAGGAAATGATGCACATTTCTAGGTTGAAGGACTTTTTAACTAAGTATGTAACATCAGCCAAAAATGTGTAAACCTAAATTTGTTGAATAAAAGGAATTTCTTAAACATCTGTGCCTGAACTGGCTTCTACAGTGTCATGGACTCAGTGGTTTCTCTGCAAATAGTTCTGCTAAAACTTGATGGTGTGTCTGTTTTCTGTCAAATCTAGACCATCTGGGTCTTCCAGGTTACCTTGAAAAGAGGGAAGAAACAAACTTGTCCCTCGTTAGCAGGGCCAACCATATTCTCTTTCATGTCTTCAGTTTTACTATCTTATTGAAAATACTCCGTCCTAACCTAAAAATCCATCTTTCATCTGTGTCTTGGTGACACAATTATGGTCTCTGCTTGAAAGTGGTATTTTATATAAAAGACTTCCAAATCTTAAATGTTTTAATAACATCAGTAAGTATCTTTGTACTATCTGTTTGTAGGATTGTATTTTAATCACATGGCCTCGGTTCTTCAACATTTATGCTACTTCATCTTGCACTTGATAAACATAAAAATCAGAAATATATTATCAAGAGTAACAGGAAATAGAAGAAATAAATTGTAAACAGTTTTTGACAACCATTTTTGTAGACAAAAAATGTCTGTACATAGCAAATGGTGGAAAAAGACTAATGTGTGATCATATTCATCCTATACCTAAGTGTTGTAGTCAAAATCAGATAGAAGAGCTTGCATAGATACAAAATTGAGTGATTCTGATCTGTAGGTTTACTATGTGTGTACAGCTTGTTAAGTCACTGTATTAAAGTGCTTTAAGGTGGATGCAACAAGGCATGCAGCCACTGATAGTCACCAATATCAGGAAACACAAGAACTTGCCTTAAAAATTTCTTTTATTAATGTGGTGCTTATCTACCTATGAACAGGTTATTTGTGACAATATTAATTGCTGCATAGTGTAATTATGCTAGATATAATGCAAAGTTAGCATAGAGTGGCTGTGTGACTTGCTGAACTCATGGAATTCTATGTAAGCTGGCTATGGAATTGACATTAAAACAACCCAGAAACATCTAAGAAACAGCCTATAGCAGGATGCAGAATTTGTTTTGGAGTTAACTGTCCCAAAAATTCATTTTAGCATCCTATCCCTACTATGAGAGATGAAGTAGTGTTTAACTGAGAAATTGCCATCCTTGCTGCTAGGTAACAGCAGGTACAGAGGCCAAATATGGATCCTCTAGCATGTGCCTGAGAGGACAACACAGTTGGGATTTTTTTTTTTTAATACTTGACTAAAGCCTTTTGATTATCTTATGTTTGCATACAATCCAGTTTCTATTTCAGGAGAATTGTTAAATGTACAAGAACTTGGGTCTGGGTGAAAGCTTTACATCATTTATTTATTTCTGTTTATTCATCAGATGCATATAATGCCAGATTATATATTCTGTCCAGCAGGATCTTACCTGACAATGATTGCATTGTTTTGTTTCATTTTGGTTTTTATGGTGCTATTTGGGCAATAAGCTGCTGTTTGGCTAATGGGATTGCTGTTTGGGTCTTTGTTAATTCCAATTTTTATCCGTTCTGCTTTTTCTTTTAAGTTGGAGTGCCTAAAGATTATGACTTGGGGATTATTTTGCTTGCTAGTAGAGAACGAGTTACATGGTCTGTCTACAAAATAATTAGGCCAGGAAACTAGTATCTAAACATCATCTCTTTCTGTGCAGACTTGGTGGTACTTATCACATCTGAGGACTGAAAGGGTCTTTAAAAATACACGATTAAGGTAATCACAAAAGAGATCTTACCTTGTACTCATCACTGATGAGGACCTTCGAATAGACTGTAGCACATGCCCTCTTCTCTGTTAAAAGCCAGAATAACATAGTTCATAATTGCTTTTTTGGGTACAGATACACAACAGAAGAATTAATATTCCATCAGCAACTTGATCACTAATTACATCTCCTGCATGGTTTCATAATGAGGGTGTTGGATTTTGGGGTCATAGGATGGTGATAGGCTTTTTATTTGAGGGGTTTTGTTTGCTTTTTTCCCTCTCAAAAGAGTCTTAAAGTTACTTTAATTTCTCCATAGTAAGTAAGCAATTTCAGTATGTAACTGCTACTATCTAAACCCTGCCTCCCCCCAGCAAAATCCCCCAAAAACGTATTTGTGTGCATCAGATGTTCCAATATTATAGCTTGAGGTTTTCACCTTTTTCATCTTCTCTTCTAATAACAGAAAAGTTGACATATTCTTCTTCTGGTTTAACAGGCTCTGGATTAAAGATGATGAACAGCAGTTAATTACAACAGACTGACCAGATTTTTTTTTTTTTTTTTTTAATAATCTTGAAACAAAGCAGCGAGATGCCATATTGAATATAAATCTACCATGCTTTCTGTGGTGTTCATGTGCCTTATCAGAGCTATTGTCACTGTCCTTGCAGACTATGTGGGTAGAATGCTGATTGATACCTGGCATGAGCAGCTGCACGGAACACTGAGCTAACACAGCAGAGCAGCTAGAATTTTGTCTACTATATCAAGAGGAAGGCAGATTTGTTCAGAGAGAATTATCCCCTTTTTGGTATTTAGAAACAGGAAACATAATACCTTTGCTGTTGGTTTGTTTGGGGGTTTCTTTTTCCCTTGAAAATATTGACATTCACGTATAAGGCAAATGCAGAAAAGTACAAGATAATAGCATTGTGGCTTTCATGTAACGTCTTCATTATTGTGTATTTTCTGCAGTTGAAGTAGTGCAATGTCTTAACGTAGGTCAGTTGCTTTGCTGCCTAGCATTACTTCATAATTTCAGTTTGAACTGAGTGAGTCTTGTCAAAGTTAAGAAACGTGGAATAAAGAACTATTGCGTACTGAACAATTTGAACAGGATGCAGGAGCTACATAAGTTTTATTTTGCTAAACTTGCATATAGCGCACTTTTGTCTCTTAGTAAATGGGCATTGCACCTCTAATCTACTTACTGTCTTTTAATTTTCTTTTCCTCTGTAATGGCTATTTCAATCCTCACCATGAGGTGCCAAATGCAATTCTTCATTTTACTTCTGCTTACAGTAGATTTTTGTATAGAACAATTCAGTTCATTTAACCCGTTGCAGTTTTGGCTGCGTGGCTGACGGGTAGTGCCAAATGTGGATCCTGAGGGACTTCAAATAATGCCTCTGCCAGGCACAGTCAGTAGGAGTATTAGCTCACTTACTGAGTGGTAGATGTCCCTTCCCCTGCTTTTGTAGTACCTGAAGAAATTTGCCCATACTAGCTACAAATAGTACCACAGCATTCTTCAACCAACCTCCCACAAGTAAGTTTCATGACTGCCTGGGGAGTAAAGTGAACTTACCAATCTCCGTGTATATGATGTAGTTTTCAGACTCTTCTGCGTTCATTGTTGAAGTAAGGCCAGTTGAGGACCTAGCAGACTTAAATTTTCCTGCAAATTGTAAAAGAAAAACAAACACATGCCTATATACATATATCAATTTTTCTTAGAGGGAAATAAACAGCTCCATGATATCTTTTGAATACTCTCAGATAATGTTATTTTCATGATAAAAATTGCTCCTTAACCAAGGGCGTTTTTAATAGAATTTCCTTTTTTTAGTAAGAACAATGAGGTCCAATTCCTTCCAACATTTATGTGTATTAAATTAGATGTTGCTTTGCTTCCCCCATCCCAGACCTGACGTCTAAAACATAGCTCAGAGGTTTTGCCTTGTCAATGTCTTGTTAAGATGGCTATGCTGGTTAAGAGGAGACTTGACAACATCCTAAAATACCAAGAGCATAACTCTACTTGTAACATGATGTTTACACATTAAAATGTATTGACAACATAAATGAGCGCATCTGGAAAATGAAACAGACATTCAAATAACTCACTTGCTTTATATGAAGGAATTATGAAAAATGGAATTGCCAGAGCAAATCCTATTACTAATAGTAGCAAGATCAGCGCAAGAGAAATGATCAAGGTTTGAGAATGGCTTCTCTCTTCTGCCAAAAAGAAAAAAAAGGTGTTTATGCAATGAAATGTTGTTTCATATTCTAAGTATTTTCTGTAAATCAAAATCAAGACTTTGCATTCTTTCAGCTTTTGGATTAACTGTGGTTAACTCAGGAGAGTCCCAAGTGCACAATGCCACAGCAGAAGGAAGGGATCTTTGCTGGTGCCAGTAGACTCTCTCTTTTGTAGGACCAGAGAGAAAAATGAAACTAGACTCTCCCCAAGGTGGAGCAAGGTGGACCAGGGGCCTCTTGTAAAAATGAATTTTTTACAGTCATCCTTCATGGTCAGTTCGACTTATACTACCATCTAGGCTGCATGGAATTCTATCTTTTTGCATTAATTTTAAAAACTCAATTTTTTTTTTTTTTTTGGTTAAAAAAATGTATTTTGAACATTATATTGCAGGAACAAAATTTCGGGCTAAAAAACTTGCATTGTTACAACATTCTGAATTTTGTGTGGTCCCTGTTTATCGACAGTGGTAAACTGTTTCATGCATGCATACCTGCTAATGTAAAGTTGAAACTGTTGCTGTATTTTGTATTATTGCGAAAGCTATTTTCAGCTCTGCATTTATAGGTTCCAAAGTCACTAGAGGAATTGATAAATAGAAAAATCACAGCTGCTTCCCTCTTCTGCATCTTCACTGGGGGGGAAATGCTTTGTCTTCCTTTGAAGAATATGTATGTGATAGGAAGAGAGCCATTCTCTGAGAGACAAGACAGGGTCACATTCTGGGCTTTCTTTGCTTGAGAGTTGGGTGAGCTCAGCACTGGTTTGGAAATTGGCTCTGTAAAAAGAAAACTGAAAAGACTGCATCACTGAGTACAGGACAAGCTCCAAAGCAAGACTCAGAGTTAAGCGGTAACATTGGCAAATGAGATGGGCATCAAGGATGGAGGGCTCAGTGAGCCAGATCAGAACAGCGCTGCCGACTCCTAAGGAACTAATAGCCATTTGCAGTGAAGTTCAGCTCCACAATAAACGCAGGCGCACACTGCAATCCAAAACAGTACCAGCCGCAAACAAAACCCTGACTCCTGCTGCTGCATATGTATTGCATCAGATATGGCTATATGCCCGTAAAACAAAATGGGCTGAGAAGGTATACAGCAAGACATACCTATAAGGGTGAAGTTGAGACTGTTGCTGTATTTTCCACCACGGGAGATGTTATTCTCAGCTTTGCATTTGTATTCACCCACGTCACTGGCAGAGTTGATAGTCCAGTTAAATAAACCGGGGGTCAAGTCTGGCCTATTTAAAGTGGATACCTTCTGATTGCGTTTAAACAAGGTGTATCTGATAGGTGGAGATCCAGAGTCTGAGTGGCAGGAGAGGGTCACGTTCTGGTTCATCACTACATTCAAAGTCCCCTGAACAGGTATGAGCCTGGGATTGGACAGCATCTCTGGAAAGAAGAAACTTGATTTCACTGTGCCTATCATCCAAGAAACTCTCAGATTTTTCCCAAAATATCTTGATGACCAGGCTATACTTATTTCTGTTGAAATAGGGGGGTATTTTTTTTTCCACCTCCTGCAGCAGGCAACACAACTTTCTATTTTTCAAAGTCAGTATGCGGCTTCAAACACTTCAAATGCATGTCTTCATACAAAGAAGAGCATATACACACAAAGCCAACGAATGTATCCAGATGAACCAACAAAAATACTTTTTAACTACAGCAGCAATGAAAATATTGGAAGTATAAAAGATAAATATAAATATTATGGTAAGCTAATTGTAGGAGAAAGCAACCTTATATGCTAGTTGAGAGGTAGCATGTGAACCTGAAAGTAAAAGCAGTATTTTATTTGTGGCTGTATGTAAACAGGCAGAATTAATCTTGGGTAAGTAGATTGAACTTTTGAGTAGTAGCAGCAGGAGCCTTGACGGTCTATCGGATTCATTTGCTTTTATGAGATTATACAAATAAATTTGTAATAAAAACTCATAATGTCTTTGCATAGAAAATGGTAATAAACTAGTCATGACTAAGATAAATTATGACACTTCTAGAGGGGAAAAATATGTTTTAACAACTTAAAGCAATTTTGACTGTACATACAAGTCAGCAAAGTCAGCAAAGAGACAGTTAACTTTGTGTAGAAACTTGTAAACTGCCTCACTGCACAGACAGGGGCCAAAGAGTTAATTTTACGTGAAGGTTTTGGACATTTTTAAATCCTTCCCCCATCTTTCTGTTAACAGTCGATTTCAGCACATATCCCAAAACCAAAAAAAGAGAACCTACCTGTGCCATTTGCAGTAGTTTTCTGAATCTGCTGAGACATTTGAACTAAGAGGAGAAAAGAAAGCTTTCAGACAAGAAACAATGTTTTTTGTTTAGAAATATTTGTAATATATAAGAAGTATGTCCTTGGCTTACGGTAGGAAGACAGCAGAATTGTGAGAAGAAACATTTTCTTGATACTGAGCAAGACAGCTGGTGGAGTTACACTAATGAGATCTTTGAGGAGTGGCTCTAGGGGTTGAGGAAGTCCTAAATATGGAAACAGTGCTGATCTTCACCGATGTTTGTGTAAAGACTTTCGTCATATTCCACTTATATTTGGCCTATGGCAGACAGAGCAGAAGAAAAAGATATGGAGGGAGGAACAGCAGTTTGAGGTACAACTAAATGTTATGTACAGTTGTTCTAAGATGTAGCTGACATAATTAGCAGTTTTCCATGTGAGAACTGTGTGGTGCCATGCACTGTTCTAGCACACATTTGCTAGATAATGCAAGTGATCATAAGGCTGAGACATGGAACTGGTTTTTTTAGCAGCAATGTAATTTTTAAAAAATTGTGCAAAAAAAAAGAATATAAAATCTATAGAAATTTTAAGATGCTAAGAAATATTTATAGCTAGCCAGCTCGTTAGGGAAATATTTTGGTCAAACTACAAATATTAAGCTGTACTACAAGGTACAAATCTCAACATGAACTTGACTTCAACACCACTGCAGAAACGAATTTCATGACTAATTTGATCATCTAATCAGTAATACAAAGCTACATAATTACAGCAAGTAGATGTTCTTTATTTGTCATCCTCTGGGCAAAGTAAATGTAATCTTTAGCTATACATGGGCAATGCCTTCTGAAGAACTCTAGGCCCTGTTGCACATGAAGAAGTAACTACTTATACGGAGAATGCCTTAAGAGTGTTTTTGTCATCCTTGTCTTATTTCTCATTTCTTTGTCTCCAGTTTCTGAAAGTAACAAGACGAGGTCCTACAGACTCTGTCCTCTTCTGTGTAATACGAAATCCCTCCCAAGCCTGGTCTGTTGCAGCATTGCAGTTTCCTCAAAGAACTTCGTGTGCAACTTCCTCCCTCCTTGTTTGTTTTTCTTCTGTTTGATTTCTTTTAAGACAACCTCCACCCTCCCCTCGCAAATGTTGCTTATGCGGAAATGCTGACAACTAACCACAAGACTAGAATATTTTTTTGCAGCTGGCAGGAAGCACGTACAAAAATGCAGCTGTCAGGAGAAGAACTGGGAGCGTTTGTGCGTTTTCCTGTTGTGGGAGCCTGTTCTTTGTCAGAAAAACGACAAAAAAGTCCTTAAGACGCTCGCAGCCAGGCGACGGAGCAGGTGAAGTGCCCCGAAAGCTGCGAAGGAGCCCGCTCTCTCGCCCTCCTGTCAGGGCGGGAGACGCCGGCAGGCTGCCGGGGGCTGTGGCGCGAAGCGGTTTCGGGGCGCTCCGCTGGGGCCGGCGGG